TTCTGTTAGGAGTGCGCGGGGAACCCAGATGATATGAGACCCAGAACGAGGCAGACACAAGGGGAATACAAAATAACAGTGTTTATTATTTACAGTGAGATTAAATCACATCCACTGGCTGCTGGTCTGAGGCTCCTGGAAAGAGGGACGACAGGTTAATGGCTGTCCAACGGGGAAGGCTCAAGTTGATTCTAAGGAATGTGTTTTATCCTTACAGTCCAACCCGAAGGGAGAGCTGGTCCTTCAGTCCAAGGCGAGCGAGCAGCAGAGGGGAATCCAACAAAGTCCAAAAGGGGAACGAGGAAGGCTGGCACTGGAGGCAAAGAGGCACGAGGAACACCTGAGAGGCCTAGGATCCAAATCAGGTCACGAGGGAAATCCAAAGAGCACGAGGAACCAGGAAACTGGAAAAAAGAGCAGAAGGTGAACAAATTCTTTTCACCAAGGCATTTGCCTCACAACAGTACAATACCATAAGAGGTGATATGCTCCAGCGTTGAATCACACCGGACTGCAGCCTTAAGTAGATGGAGAGGCTCATCAGGCTGATGGCCGCCAGGTGTTGGTAATCAGCGGCCATCAGCAAGGCAGGCTGCAGGCAGTGGGATCCTTACAGCTTCGATAGCGGCCTTAAGCTCATCCAGGGTGTTGGGTCTTGCGTCTCTCAACTTTCTCTTCACAATATCCCACAGGTTCTCTATGGGGTTCAGGTCAGGAGAGTTGGCAGGCCAATTGAGCACAGTAATACCATGGTCAGTAAACCATTTACCAGTGGTTTTGGCACTGTGAGCAGGTGCCAGGTCGTGCTGAAAAATGAAATCTTCATCTCCATAAAGCTTTTCAGCAGATGGAAGCATGAAGTGCTCCAAAATCTCCTGATAGCTAGCTGCATTGACCCTGCCCTTGATAAAACAGTGGACCAACACCAGCAGCTGACATGGCACCCCAGACCATCACTGACTGTGGGTGCTTCACACTGGACTTCTGGCATTTTGGCATTTCCTTCTCCCCAGTCTTCCTCCAGACTCTGGCACCTTGATTTCCGAATGACATGCAAAATTTGCTTCCATCCGAAAAAAGTACTTTGGACCACTGAGCAACAGTCCAGTGCTGCTTCTCTGTAGCCCAGGTCAGGCGCTTCTGCCGCTGTTTCTGGTACAAGATTGGCTTGACCTGGGGAATGCGGCACCTGTAGCCCATTTCCTGCACACGCCTGTGCACGGTGGCTCTGGATGTTTCTACTCCAGACTCAGTCCACTGCTTCCGCAGGTCCCCCAAGGTCTGGAATCGGCCCTTCTCCACAATCCTCCTCAGGGTCCGGTCACCTCTTCTCGTTGTGCAGCGTTTTCTGCCACACTTTTCCCTTCCCACAGACTTCCCACTGAGGTGCCTTGATACAGCACTCTGGGAACAGCCTATTCGTTCAGCAATTTCTTTCTGTGTCTTACCCTCTTGCTTGAGGGTGTCAATGATGGCCTTCTAGACAGCAGTCAGGTCGGCAGTCTTACCCATGATTGCGGTTTTGAGTAATGAACAAGGCTGGGAGTTTTTAAAAGCCTCAGGAATCTTTTGCAGGTGTTTAGAGTTACGTCGTTGATTCAGATGGTTAGGTTAATAGCTTGTTTAGAGAACCTTTTCATGATATGCTAATTTTTTGGGACAGGCATTTTGGGTTTTCATGAGCTGTATGCCATAATCATCAGTATTAAAACAATTAAAGACCTGAAATATTTCAGTTGGTGTGCAATGAATCTGAAATATATGAAAGTTTCATTTTTATCATTACATTATGGAAAATAATGACCTTTATCACAATATGCAAATTTTTTGAGAAGGACCTGTATATAAATGTGTAAAAGACCACCCCAGTTATTTCAGGAAACAATGTTTTCTAGTTTTTATATTGTGTAAAAGTACAGTTTCCTCCAGTGATTGGGGTGGATCATAGGGTGACTGAATCTACATATGTGGGTCAAGGCCCCCATTGGCCTCCCCCTCACTCCTCCATTGCACCTGGTTGTGGATAAAATTTCTCCCTCCATTTACCAGGATCAGTCACTCTGCAATGCCTTGGACCAGAAAAACAAAACTACCTCTGTTCTTGCACACAGTGTGTAATCACCTGACACCAGAAACATTAAGGTTTATGTACATTTACTGCTCAATTCCAGTCCAGAAAAACACTCATCTCATAAACTACTCACATTCACTATTCAAATCCCCCAGCAACGGGGGACATTGGGTACTGCTGATACCCCACTCCATGCAATGAAGGACACAGATGCTCTCAGTGTGGATCACTAAGTCCCTGTATTGTTGGTTTTCAGGTCCCTCGTCACTGGATGTCAGAGGACAGTAAACACGTGCTGATCCAGATCCTGTGGGACAACCTGAAGCTGCACCAGGACCCAGTCCAGCCTCTCTACATTCTCTGGAACGCATGCAGTGAGTCGCGTCGCTCTCACACTTAAACCCTCTGAGGATGAAGGAGGGGTGGGATTTAATCAGCTCCCACAGGAGAACCTGGATCCACTTGTTAGACAAAAGCTTTTTTTTCTCTAAAAATGTGGAATTAAAATGTATCTGTAGAATAAATATGAGACATAGTTTTAAAAGGACTGAATAAAAACAGAAGACGATGAACCAAAACAAGCAAGGCTGATTAAGATAGTATCTCACTGAGCTGCAGGTGACCAGCTGTGAGCGCTGATAGCTGGGGGAAACTTACGAGCAAAGATGCATACTTTGTGTTGCAGCTTCACTAAACCCCCACTTCCCTGAGCGTTCACAACCAAGTGACCAGTGAGCCGCGTGGCTGCTTCTGAGCAGACGTTGAAAATCACAGCATCTTTTTGTACGCACAGCTTTAAAATCTCTATTGTTGGTCACAGTGACAGAACTCTGAACAGCCTCTAACTTCCACCGTGAGATCACATGACCTAGAGTGGAGAGGTCTCTGAACAAAACACTAACTTTTGGAGCCATTTTGGATCAAGATGGCTGCCACAGCTAGCTCAGAAAACTCCAAATTGACTATAACTCAGTAATTCTTTGAGATACTGAGCTGAAATTTGGTATGGTTGTAGCTGAGAGTGAGTTGTTATAGATTCCTGATGAAAATTAAAAATCCAACATGACCGCCTGAGCTAAATGGGGAAAAATACAATAACAGCTATTTTTAAAGATATTGAGCTGAAATTTGGTGTGATAGTACCTGACAGCGATGTACAACACACTCTGGATTAAAATCTAAAAATTCCAGATGGCCGCCAAAGCTAATTTCAAATAGATATAACTCAGAGGTTTTTAGAGCTATTTAGATTAAATTTAGTGTATTGGTAGCTGAGAAGAATAACTAATAGAATCTGATTGCAAATCAAAAATCCAAGCTGGCCACCTGAACTAACAAGGAAGAATACTGTAAATCAGCCATATTTAAAGATAAGCTGAACTTTGGTATGGTGGTAGCTGAGAACATTGCTCATCACATACTGAATCCAAATCAAAAAACAAATATGGCCACCATAGCTTAAATGAAAAAAATGACCGTAACTCATTGATTTATTTTTATTTTTTTACCATATTGAGCTGAAAGTTGGTGTACTGGTAGCTGAGAGTGAACCTCAACACATAGTACTGTCAAATCAAACATTTTTAAAATGATCACAGCGTGGCAGTCCCTGTCAAAAGTTTCTCCATGAACTTTCTAGTTTGGCAGCTGCTCTTACATTTCTGATATATTTTGTTTGAGTACACTGTTGAAATGAGGACTGGCAGATTTGGAACATTTTGTTTTTAAAGTATTATTATCCATCAGCAGGAAGGTTTTTAGACATGGACTTTTGCCTAATTTCTATGAGAGGACAGCTCCAGCATACAGTTGCATTCGGGCCCAAAAAATCCGACCTGGTCCCGGCCCGTAGCAATCATTTTTGAACCCCACCTGACCTGATGAATTAACAGTAATTACAGGTCCGACCCCCCCCCAAAAACTGACATTTTTAATTAAGCTTTGACTGCTTATATAGTTATTAACGGTCGGCGGACGCATGCCTAAGGGGGATGAAAATTGGAGCTGAGCAGGCGTTTGTCCTTTCATGGCCGTCAAATTGCATTAAATCCCTTTTTCTGCCTGTATTCTGCATTATTCAGACATGGACCCTGCTCTGACATGTCAGATATATTATGATCTCACCTGTTCGGGTCGTCAGCCCCGCGTGTCCTCTGATTGCAGCGGCTGAATCAACGTCCATTTGGGCTGATGGATCGCTGCCTGGCTGTAGTCCATCTGAGCTTAACTGAACTTTTTGCCTCTTTCAAGGCCGGTCAGCACGTGGTCCAATAGCCGCGTGCAGTTGGTGATTATATGGCAAGCCATGTTGCCATATAATTGGATTGTCAGCTGTGCGCGTCCACTGACGCAATCAAAAGCCCGGCCCGACCTAGCCCAAATCCTGGTCGGGCTGGGCTTCGGGTTCGGGTTAGAAATGACTCTACTCCAGGGCAAGAGTGTTGGAGATGTCCACATCAGCTCTCTGAGTAGATCTAGAGAAAGGTTGTCCCACTAATTTTTTTAAATATATTCCAGACTCAGTCAATGGGACTTCGAGTTGAAGAAATTGAGCGCTTCTGTGTACACCTTGAAACATTTGGGAGTTTCTCTCATGTAAGCCTTAACCCATCACAGCCCAGTGAGATACCACCTGTAGTACTGGACACATTGTATTTTACTTTATGAAATGTTTGCGCAGCATCAGTGATCTCTGTGAGAGATGCGACCTGGTGGTAAGCTGCAGTAAGGCATGATAAAATGACAGAAGAGGCCATCTGTCTTTGTTTAACAGGTTCTGTCTGCTCTGTCTTCCAGGACTTAATTGTACTCTGTTGTTAGAAAGTGAGTGTTTATCTCTGCTCCAGACTCTCAGCTGAGGCTTCTTCTTGTGCTTTCTGCGTTAGAGCTGCTGTGTGTTTTATTTTTATTTATGTTTTGCTTGATGGCCTGCAGTGTTGTCCACTTATAATTAAAGCAGCTTCTTGGTTCCAGTGTTGGAGTGAAGTGTCTGTTCAAACATATTAAAACTGTGTCCAGGGGGGTGTTTAGCTTCAGCACATCTCTGCTCTGTTTTCTTGTGAGCGGCTGCGCTCGTCTTTGTGTTTGATGTCTTATGTATAACTTGCTCTGTTAGTGTTTGTATTTTAAGTGACTTTTTTATGACATTCTCCTCATTTTACAGAATCTGTGCTTTACAGCTAAACTGGACTCTCAAAGCATCCTCACTGTGTTATTGTTTGGTGTCTGAGGGGGAACAGGACGAGTCCACTGCTGACCTCTGTCTGTTTCTGTGTCCTGATAGACGTGGGTTACCCTCTGGCCCGGCTCGTCCCGGAAGAGGAGAAGCCATTCAGCGAGGAGCTGCTGCAGAGCGTGGTGAAGAGCATCCAGAGGAACGACGTCAGTCGGCCAATGGCTCAGCTGCTGCAGCTCCTGGACAAAACACTCGGCGTCAAAAGGCAAAGGTCAGGATCTGCACAGAATGCAAAGTGTTTTTTATTAAACAAACAAATATTGTATCTGTCTGAATCTGGAATAGTTGACCAAACCAGCAGTGCCTTTTGTTTTTAAACAGACATATTAAATCTGCATAAATGATTTAGTTGTTAAAGAGATAGTTCAGAGGTTTTAAAATGGGACTTGGTTATGACCAAAAAAATAAATAATTTTAGTCTGATGCTAAAAGCTACTTGGAGTCTTGTTGAGGTCAAAGTGGATTGCTGCCTTCTTAATATGACTCAAGTTTTTAAAATGTCACACTGTTCATGCAAACACTGTTTAGTAAGTCTTTGCATCACCATCAGTTTTCCATTGCAGTTATTGTTGCCTGTTGCAGAGCAAAAAGGAAGAATTGGAAACACCGTCTGTCCGTTTGTGAATGTTGTGAGCAGGAGTGAGATTTTCAGTTTTCATGTTGGTTCAAAGTATAGTTTCCTGAAATGATTGGGGTGTCTGAAGAATCATCCATGGTGGTCAAGGCCACCATTGACCACCCTCTGGCTCCACCATTGCTCCTGGTTGGAGAAAAAATTGCTCCCTCCACTCACCAGGATCCGTCACTCTGCACTGCCTCGGACAAGGGACAAAAACAAACCTCTGTTCTTCCCACAGTGTAACTCCCACCCACTTCAATCCATCCATCCATTATCTTTACCCGCTTCTTCCTTCTTCCGCGGGGGACACCCTGGAAAAGCTCCAGTCAGGGACACATAGAGACAAATGAGACAAACAACCATTCACTCTCTCACTCACACCTAGAGAAGATTTAGAGTTACCAATCAGCCTAACATGCATGTTTTGGTCTGTGGGAGGAAACCGGAGTACCTGGAGAAAACTCATACATGCACCGAGAAAACATGTAAACTCCACACAGACCGTCATCAGAACAAACACAGACCGTCATCAGAACCAACACAGACCGTCATCAGAACAAAC